TCGTCTTCGTTCTTGCCTTCACTTCGCCGTCGTTTCCGCTCTCGCTATCGCTTTCGTTCTCGCCTTCGCTTCGCCTTCGCTTTGCTCTCGTTTCCGCTCTCGTTTCACTTTCGTTCTTGCTTTCGTTTCGTTTCCGTTTCGCTCTAGTTTCCGTTCTCGTTCTCGTTCTCGCCTCTGTTCTCGGTTTCGTATCGCCTTCGTTTCGCCCTCGCTTCCAAACTCGTTCCCGCCTCCGTCGTCGTCGTCGTCGTCGTCGTCGTCGTGGTCGGCGACGACGACGACGTCGTGGTCGTCGTCGCCGTCGTCGCCGTGCAAGTCGTCGTCGCCGTCGTCACCGTCGTCGACGTCGTCGTGGTCGCTGTCGCCGTCGCCGTCGCCGTCGTCGTCGTCGTCGTCGTCGTCGTCGTCGTCGTCGTCGTCGTCGTCGTCCTCGTCGTCCTCGACGTCGTCGTCGTCGCGGTCGTCATCGTCGCCACGGCTAGATTCGTTTTCGAATTTCAGGGTGCAGGCGCACGCACCTCCAGAACCCAGACATCCAGCGTTGTGTTTTTGTTTGGCGACGCGGGCGCCCAGGGGTCTGGGCCCTTTCCCTGGGGCCAGTCTTTCGCCCCGCGTCGTTTTCTGATGGCCCCGGGGCCTGTTGAGGGCCCCTGGAAGCCAAGTGCGCGCGTGCCACTTCGATGATGCATCGTACTTTAGCGTCCCGCCCGCTCGATCTGATCCGCCCGCTAAGGTCCGCCCGCCCGACCCGGCCCGCCCGTCCGCCCGACCCGTCCGTTAGGGTACACGCGTGCGCCAATGCGACGTTGCATAGTACTTTAATGTCCCGCCCGCCCGGCACGACCCGCCTATTAGGGTACGCCTGTCCGACCTGACTTGCCTGTCAGGCTCCGCCCGCTGGACTCGACTCGCCTGCCCGCCCGACCCGCCCGTTAGGCTGCAATCGCGCCAACTCGATGATGCATTATGCTTGCGTGTCCCGCCCGCCCGACCCGACCCGCCCGTTCGGGTCCGCCCGTTCGACCCGGCTTGCCCGTTCTCGTTCTCGTTCTCATTGCCGCCCTTCGTTCTCGTCTTCGTTCTCGGCTTCGTTCCGCTTTCGGTCTGCCTTCGTTTCCGCTCTCGCTCTCGCCTTTGCTCTCGCCTTCGTTTCGTCATCGTTTGTCCTTGTATTCGCCTTCGTTTCGCGCCTGCTTCGCTTTCGCTCTCGCCTTCCCTCTCGCCTTCGTTTCGCCCTCGTTTCGTGCTCGTTTCCGTCTCGTTCCCGCTTTCCTTCTCGCCTTCGTTTCGCTTTCGTTTCGCTTGGGTTCCGCTCGCGTTCTCGCCTTGTTCTCGCCTTCGTTTCGCCGTCGTTTCCGCTCTCGCTCTCGCCTTCGTTCTCGCCTTCGTTTCGCTTTCGTTTCGCCTTCGTTTCCGCTTTCGGCCTTCGTTTCGTTTCGTTTCGCCCTCGTTTCGATCTTGTTCTCGCCTTCGTTCTCGCCTTCGTTTCGCTTTCGTTTCCGCCTCGTTCTTGAGTTTGTGTTCACCTTCGTTTCGCTTTCGTTTCGCCTTAGTTTCAGATCTTGTTTTCGCTTTCGTTCTCGCCTTCGTTTCGTCTTCGTTTCTCTTTCGTTTCCGCACTCGTTCTCGCCTTTGTTCTCGCTTTCGTTTCGACTTCACATGTCCTTGTGTCCGCTCTCGTTCCGCGCCTTCGTTTCGCCTTCGTCTCGCCTTCGTTTCGCTTTCCGCTCGCGTTCTCGCCTTGTTCCCGCCCTCGTTTCGCCTTGGTTTGGCCCTTGCTTCCGTTCTTGTTCCCGCCTTCGTTCTCGCCTTCGTTTCGCCCCTAATTCCGCCCGGTCCAAGGTGGTCTTGCTTAATCGAGCCCCCGCGTCTTACCAAAGAGGGTCTTGCCGAACCAAGCCCCGGGGTCTTCTCAAACCGAGTGGGTCTTCCCAAAAACCAAGCCCCCGGGTCTTCCCAAGCCAAACGGGTCTTCCCAAACCAGCCGGGTCTTCCAAGACCAACCAGGTCTTTCCAAACCAAATTCCCGGGTCTTCCCAAACCATGCAGCCTGGCTTTCCCAAACCAGACGGGTCTTCCCAAACCGACAAGATCTTCCCAAACGGGTCTTCACATATCAACCAGGTCTTTCCGAACCAACCGAGTCTCCCCAAACCAACCAGAACTTCCCAAACCAACCAAATCTTCCCAAACCAAAACCCCGGGTCTTCCCAAACCAGCCGTGTCTCCCCAAACCAAGCGGGTCTTCCCAAACCAGCTGCGTATTCCCAAGCCAAGTCCCCAAGTCTTCACAGACCAACGGGCCCCCCCCAAACCGGGTCTCCCCAAACCAAGCCCGGGGTCTTCCCAAACCAAGCGGGTCTTCCCAAACCCAGCGGGTGTTCCCAAACCAAGCCCTGGGGGTCACCCTAGCCGAAGGTCTGGTCTGGGAAGGCCCGTTTGGCTTGGGAGAGACGTCCCCCCCCCAAACGTTTGGAAGGAGAGCCCGGACTCGCCCGGGGCCCTGCCGAACAATGAAGGGGAGGTGTAGCTTCCAAGGCCCCCCTCCCAGCCAGGTGCGCCCCGGCGACCAAATCCAAGCGAAAGGAAGAGGGGGGGGGGGCGCAACTTCGGAAGCTACCCCACCCTTTCAAAGGGAAGCCCGGCGTGGCCCAGGGCCCCGAAAACGGGGGGGGGGCTTCCAAGCCCCCTTCCCCCCTTTCGCTAGGGCCCCCCCACTTAGAACTTGTCAGCAAACCGGGGAACGGGGGGGGGGGCTTCGGATGCCCCCCCCTCCATTTCCAAGGGGGGTGGGGGGGCTTGAAGCTGGGCCCCCCCCTTTCAGCGAGAAGTGTGCCGCGAGCGCGCTCTTTCGAACCTGTGCCGACCGACGGCGCGTGCTCTGCCACTGCGGAGTCGCTGGCAGCGGTCCCCGAGCAGCGCCCGCCAGAGGCCCGCGCCCGCTGGCGGCGCAAGCCCCGCGGCGGCGCGGCCGCTGGCAGTGGCTCCCAGGCGGGTCGCGCCAGGGGGCCGCGCCAGACGACGGCGCGGGCCCTGTCGCGGAGTAGCCGCCGGGCGGGGCGCGCCAGAAGCCCGGCGCGCGCCCCCGGCCGGTTGGCGTGCCTCGCGCAGGCCACGAACGACTGGCGCGCCGATGCGGGCACAGCTGGTCGCTGCCACCGCCGGCGCCGCGGGCCTGCAGCAGATCGCACGCAGAGCTGGTTCGAAGCGTGCGGAGCAGGCGGCCCGGTAGCTGCTGGATGCCCGCGTGCGTGCAGGGCTCAGGTGTGCGCAGTGCCCTCGCCGAGGACTTCTGAATGGCCCGGCGAGGGAAACGGTCTGGATGCATGAGCGGGTCGCCCTTGCGCCCCGCGCCAGCAGCTGTACTTCTGTTTCGTAAGTGCCAGCGCCCAAATGAGGAGGAGGAGGAGGAGGAGGAGGAGGAGGAGGGGGAGGAGGAGGAGGAGGAGGAGGAGGAGGAGGACGAGGCGGAGGATGAGGATGAGATGAGGATGAGGACGAGGACGAGGACGATGATGATGATGATGATGATGATGATGATGATGATGATGATGATGATGATGATGATGATGATGATGATGATGATAAAGATGATGATGATGATGATGATGATGATGATGATGATGATGATGATATGATGATGATGATGATGGAGGAGGAGGAGGAGGAGGAGGAGGAGGAGGAGGAGGAAGGAGCAGGAGAGGTGAGGAGGAGGAGGAGGAGGGGAGGATGAGGATGAGGATGAGGAGGAGGAGGAGGAGGCGAAGGAGGAGGAGGAGGAGGAGGAGGAGGAGGAGGAGGTGGAGGAGGAGGAGGAGTTAGAGGGTGGGCGCGGGGTAAGCGTGAATGGGTGGCGGGGCCTGGATGTCTTCGAAAGGAACGATTGCCCTCGTACTCCTGCCGTACATCCAGCCCCCGTCTCCTCACCCTTCTCCGCTGTATCCTGCCCCGCCCCTCCTTTCTCCCACCTCTCCTCCCTCCCGACCCTGTCTTGCCCCCTGCTGCTGCTCCTACTGCTCCCCCTCCCCTTTCTCCTCCTCCCCGCTTCCCCTCCGCTCTGTTCGCCCCTGCCCTCTCACCTTTGGTGGGTGGAGGGGGGGGCTCTTGTAATCGCCGCGGGCCCCTGGAGGATCCCGAAAGCCCCCCTCCCTTCCCCGAAAAGGGCCCGCGAGGTCCGACAGTCCTGGCCCCCACCCTCGCTCCTGGCGTGATTTTCTTCCCAAGGGCTCCCAAGGGCTTCCAGTGTCTCCCAGACTCTTCAGCTGGCTCCCTCCTCTCCTCCGCCTGCAGCTTGGGCTCGCGCGCAGGAGCGAGCCGCGACCCGCCCGCGTCCACCCTTGGGGGCGCGGTCCTATCGGAAGCGCTCCAATGGAAAACGACAGGAGTGGGAGGCAGGGGACCAACGTAAACCCCCCTCCCTGGGCCGGCTTTCCATCCCGGGCCGTCTCTGGACGGTCCTGGGCCCAGGGCCCGTGGGAGGCCCGCAGATCACAAAAAGCACCTCCCGCCGCGTGCTCTTCCACGACGCGAGGGGGTGTGGACCCCCCTTCCCTGGGCCGGCTTTCCATCCCGGGCCGTCTCTTGACGGCCCTGGTGCCCGCGGCAGGTCCGCAGAGCCCGCAAATAGCAAACAACACCTTCCGCCGCGTATTTTTCCACTACGCTTTCCGGCGCCCCCGTCTAGCTTTTTCGCTGGTGCAGCTCCACTCCGCCTCGCCGCCGACGACACCAAATTGTTCCATAATGCGAGGTGGCCGTGGCGGAGAAGGAGGAGGAGGCGGAGGAGGAGGGAGGAGGGAGGAGGAGGAGGAGGAGGAGGAGGAGGAGGAGGAGGAGGAGGAGGAGGAGGAGGAGGAGGAGGAGGATGAGAGGAGGAGGAGGAGGCGGAGGAGGCGGAGGGAGGAGGGGGAGGAGGAGGAGGTGGAGGCGAAGGAGGGGGAGGAGGAGGCGTTAGGCCCCACCCCCCGCCGGCCCCACCGGCCGCGCCAAAAAGGCCCGGCCTGGCGACGGAACCGGTCCACTTCAGGAAGAGGGCCAGCGGCGGGCGGTAGGGGTGCCCCGACTTGGCCCACTGCGCGGAGTCCGACCACCACCGCTCCGCGCGGTGGGGACAGGCAGGAGGAGCAGGGACAGGACGAAGCGGAAGGGGAAGGGGATCAGGGAGAGCAGGCGACGACGAGGACAACGACGACGACGAAGACGACGACGACGAGCGACGACGACGACGACGAGCGACGTCGACGACGACGACGACGAGGACGACGACGAAGACGACGACGATGACGACGACCACGACCACGACCACAACGATGACGACAACGACGACGCGTGGCTGCTGTGGCGCCCGGCGACGGCCCTGGAAGAGGAGCTGTCGTCGTCGTCGTCGTCGTCGTCGTCGACGTCGTCGCTGTCGTCGTGGTCGCGGTCGTGGTCGTGGTCGTGGTCGTCGTCGCCGTCGCCGTCGTCGTCGTCGTCGTGGTCATGGTCGTGGTCGTCGTCGTCGTCGTCGTCGTTGTGACTCGTCGTCGTCATCGTCGTCGCCGTCGTCGTCGTCGTCGTCGTCGTCGTCGTCGTCGTCGTCGTCGCTCGTCGTCATCGTCTTCGTCTTTGCCTTCGTCTTCGTCGCTGTCGTCGTCGTCGTCGTCGCCACTTGGCCGCAGGCAGCTGGGCTAAGCAGTGCCCCCCGCTGGAGCCAAGCGCGTAGGGGCGCAGTTGGCCGAGGCAATGAGGGCTTGGGGTGAGGAGCGTCATCCGCGCAGACGAGTGGACCACGACTGCTGGCCCAACCTGGATGCTGCCGACTTGGCGCCAAAGAAGCCACACTCTTAGCAAGAAAAGGTACCGCTACCGCTGCCCTGCCCCGTTTCTGCCTTTTTGGGCCTCCCGGGAGGCCTTCGTCGCCACTGCTGGATTCGCCTTGAAATTCCAGTCCCAACGCACCCCAGGAAAGGTCTGGGGACCCAAACATCTG